CCCCCCCCTCCTCCTCCACAAACCCCATGTCCTTCTAGCACTGATGATGTTACCTAGTTTGGGTAATGAACCATCTACAAGAAAACAACCAGGCTCCAGGAGCACTAAGGACCTCTTATGAAGCATTGTTTACTATATTTCTAAATTCTATTCCCATCACTGAAAGCTTCTGTTCCAGCTGCACAATGGCCTAAAGCAGCCCGCCCAAACGCTCCCCTCCAAATAGGATGGAGCTCTCCTGTCTCCCCACGATGTAGGCATTATCCGTTGTGCAATACAGTTCCTCCTACACACACATACAAACAAACAAATAAACAAACACACACACACACACAAACTTTCCCGCCTTCTGAAGCTCGGTGCCATCCCAGCCACCAAAAGATGGTACTTCCAGACAGCATCAACCTGGAAGGCATTGGATGCAGATTAAAATAAGCGTCTAGGGCAGTGATGGCGAACCTTTTGGAGACTGAGTGCCCAAACTGCAACCCAAAACCCACTTATGCATCGTCGGGTGCCGGGTGGGTGTGGCCCATTGGGTGGGCATGGCTGCAGTGGTAACGGCAGACTGGGTGGGACTAAAAAGTTCAATCAATCAATTCCAACTTTGCAAGATCTTTTTTTTTCCCGCGAGAAGTTGAGATTGACTGATTGAATCTTTTTTGTGTGTGTACATGGCGGTGGAGGCCTAAAGCGAAAAGATTTTATAAAACCCAGCTGAAGGCCTAGGACTGGGTGACGGCGCGCGTGCCCACAGAGAGGGCTCTGAGTGCCGCCTCTGGCACCCATGCCATAGGTTCGCCACCACTGGTTAGGGTCATCGTAGAGTTGGAAACACTTCTTAGCTGAGAAACATTTTCCAAATGACCTGCTGGAGGAGGCCATGTGAACATCAAAGTTATTCCAAGGAGAGGGACTACAGCTTGTAGACTCACCTCCCCTTAACATCTTCTGGGAACATCTTTTTACTTGGAGTAGAATTATCCCAGCAAGGATGTGACTTCCCAATAGTCTTCAAGGGCAGCCCCACGTAGAGCATGACCAAGGCCTGTTAATCCAGGCATAACAGACCAATGGGATTCCTCTCCTGCAAAGTGGAAGTTGAGGAGCTATTGACCATTCTGAAATGTATGGGAGCCTAGTTCCACCTCAGGACTGGCTCTGAAAGGCTGCCTTGCCTCTGATTTTCCTTCCTCCACCACTAGAAGGCATCAGACCTTGCCTCAGTTTCCCCTTTCCTGTCAACGCTGCTAACATCTGATGTTTTTGCTTTGACAACACTTGGAGATGCAACCATTTTCTTCTTATGTTTTACTCCTAGAGTTAGAGTTAGATGATGCTGGGGGGAGGAATGTGCATGAGAGTTTTAGCTAGACATAACAATACTGGACCTAGTGTGCGAACCAAGGTTATTGAAATAAGAGATGACAAGAACTGGTGGGTTGGAGAACTGGAGGGAAAGCTTGCATTTCAAACTAATTGGAGAATGTGATTTATGATGGAGGGAATTGTGCTTTGATACTATGTGTTCAGGGGAGGGGAATTAAATTTTTGGCTTCGACTGTGTTAGTGCCGACGCTATGCTTCTCACATAAAGATTCTTTAAGGTAAACAATGCCTCGAAGTTCTTTTGAAGAATTTCATCTATCGGAACCATGACACTTCCATTTCTGGGTACAAGGCTCCTCCCCATCACTCAGACCGTCAACTGTCCCTGTTCCTTTTAATCCAGAGGAACGGCTTGCCTCCAGACGTTGTGGGTGCTCCAACACTGGAGGTGTTTAGGAAGAGATTAGACAGCCATTTGTCTGGAATGGTATAGGGTCTCCTGCTTGAACAGGGGGTTGGACTAGATGACCTCCAAGGTCCCTTTCAACTCTGCTTTTCTGTTATTGAAGGCAAGGTTACTGTCATGCCTGGGTTGTTTGGTCTCTGCGCTTGGCAACTTCCCAACTGCCAAATCGGATGGCGGATCCTGTGTTTCTCTCGTCCTTTCTCCCCCTGCTTGCAAACATTACAGCATCCAAATACCTTTAGACTCCAGCTGCTATCTTTAGCAAAAGGGGGAAGCCCCACATATCCTCCAGAGCTCCCTTCTTCCTCCTCCGGGAAAAAAAAACCAGTTTTTCCCCTTCTTTTTGTCTCCTTATTTCTCTCTCTTTTTGCACTCCCCACCTGCTTCTCTTGACGGGAAATCAGGGAGCTTCTATCCGTAATCCAGTTCAATCACCATCAAAGCAGATCCTTATTTTCCCCGAACGTGATTGAAGCAAGGAAGATCCCTTCCGGATATGGTAGCCGCGGTGCAGGATTTCACTGGGTTAAAGATTCCTCTTTGAGGTAATGATGGGCCTTGCTCACTTCTTCCCGGCAGTGAATCTGTGCAAAGCCTTGAGAAATAATGTGAGCCAACACTTTCCCACCAGGTGGGATGTCTTCGTGATAAGTGAGGTGCCAAACTGTGGCCAAAGGGGGGCAGCAGGTAGAATGAGGTGGAATTGCTTGCAGCAAGTTTTGTGGGTTTAAAAATGTGATGTTTGGCGTCCTCGGGCAAAGCATTTTCATTTGCTGTCAGAAATAGTCAATTTACTGGTGAAAATTAGAAATGAATAGAATAGAATAGAATAGAATAGAATAGAATAGAATAGAATAGAATAGAACAACAACAACAACAACAATAATAATAATAATAATAAAGTTGGAAGGAACCTTAGAAGTCATCGGGTCCAACCCCCTGCTCAGGCAGGAAACCCTACACCATTTCGGACAAATGGCTGTCCAGTCTCTTCTTTAAAACTTCCAGTGTTGGAGCATTCACCGCTTCTGGAGGCAGGTTGTTCCACTGGTTAATTGTTCTAACTGTCAGGAAGTTCCTCCTTAGTTCTAGGTTGCTTCTCTCCTTGATTAGTTTCCATCCATTGCTTCTTGTCCTGCCTTCAGGCGCTTTGGAAAATAGCTTGACTCCCTCTTCTTTGGGGCAGCCCCTGAGATATTGGAAGACTGCTATCATGTCCCCCCTCATCCTTCTCTTCATTAAACTAGACATCCCCAATTCCAGCAACCGTTCCTTATATGTTTTAGCCTCCAGTCCCCTAATCATCTTTGTTGCTCTTCTCTGTACTCTTTCCAGAGTCTCAACATCTTTTTTACATCGTGGTGACCAGAACTGGATGCAGTATTCCAAGTGTGGCCTTACCAAGGCCTTGTAAAATGGTATTAACACTTCACGTGATCTTGATTCTATCCCTCTGTCAATGCAGCCCAGCACTGTGTTGGCTTTTTTGGCAGCTGCAGCACACGGCTGGCTCATAATAGAACAGAACAGAACAGAACAGAACAGAACGGAATGGAAAAAATAGAATAGAATAGAATAGAATAGAATAGAATAGAATAGAATAGAATAGAATAGAATAGAATAGAATAGAAATGGAATGGAATGGAATAGAATAGAATAGAATAGAATAGAATAGAATAGAGCTGGAAGGGACCTTGGAGGTCTTCTAGTCCAGCCCCCTACTCGAGCAGGAGAACCTATACTATTTCAGACAAGTGACTGTCTATCATGTCTCCCCTATTTCTTCTTTTCTTTAGACTAGCCAAACCCAAGTCCTGCAGCCGTTCTTCATATGTTTTAGTCTCCAGGCCTTGGATCATCTTAGTTGCTCTTCTCTGAACTTTTTTTCCAAAGTCTCAACATTTTTTTTGTAGTGTGGTGCCCAATAGTATGGTTTTTCCATTTTCATTTCTGTTGCTAAGCAAGGTGGGAGTTATATGAGTAACTCTGAACGGTCACTAAATGAATCGTCCTAAGTCATTTGCATTTGCACCACAATCCACCAATATCTCCACCGGGATATTTATGGCTTACACAATTATAGAGTGTTATTTATTTATTTATTTATTTATTTATTTATTTATTTATTTATTTATTTATTTATCCAATTTATATGGATGCCCATCTCACAAGAATAGACTCCGATCCCCTCTCCCCCCTCCAAAGCTAAGCCGGTTAAAACTATTGTTGTTTGTTGCCTGAATTCTTCCCCTAGTTTGTGATGGGTTAACCATGTTGTACGAACCCCCCACCCCCCGTTAGCGATTTCTCTGTACCCGCTAAAGACCTACAATTTGGACAAAGCGTCTCTTTACCTCCGTGAGCATTTTAAAACATTCCAAATTCTTAAGGATGGGATGTTTTCTCCCTGACCGCTTTTGGCACAGAGAACAAAGATAACTATCTCCTTCAATCTCTTTCTCCGCCCCATTTTCTGAAGAGGGCTTGGAAAAAGAACCACATGTTCCCTAGATCACTTCTCCCAACCACTTCTCCACTCAAGTACCCATTATTTTATTTATTTTTTTAATAAAATGTTTAATGATTTTTGTAATTAAACAGCAAATACAAATATGATGCATTTACATACACAAGCAGAAAAAAAAAAAATCCAAGTCAATACATTTTCGGAGACGCTCGGCCATAAGTACCCATTATTATTATTATTTTTTAAAGTCAACATGCTACCTCTTGTTATTTCTACTCAATTCTCCCCAATGGCTTGATCCAAACAGATGTCCCTAAATATGGAGCCAAATGCTTTAGGTCTACCGTATAGAAGTGGAAGGCGGTATGATACACTTTACAATAATTCCTAAGGGTTGTAGAATGGAAGACGGACTTTATTGTTTCTCTCTGCAACTTTTCAAGCTAGGGTTTGTAAGACAAACCGTATCTGAACATCCATGGTGTTTCTGGGGAAAGTGAGAAAACATCCTTGGATGGGGCATCCAAAGTCCATGGAGAAACGTGACCATCCCTTCCTCTGACGTTTTTCTCCTTCTGATGTAGTTCTAGGTTTGGTGGTGATTGGTTGCGACCGTATTCTTACATCCAGTGGCCTATATCACGATGTAGATCCAGTAGATGGAAAAACATCTTTTCAAAACATTTCTTTGGAAAACGGTGGTCTGCTCCGGGGTGGTGAGAAGGTCCAGAGTTGTGCAGTCAATGACTTTATGTCCCGTACTTTATTTAATATCAAGGTGGTCACCTGCAAATGTTTTTTTTTCCACTTTTAGGGAGACGTCCAGCCTCTCCCCCATCTCAAGAAATGGGGACTACTGAAATAAAACCCAGTCTCCTCGTTGGCCTTTTGTTCACTTTGACGCTTTTGTGGCACAAGGCAGGTAAGTTAATTTAACTTTGTTTTCCATCAGCTGGTTCCCTGAAACAGAACAAATTTTAGCACCATCTCCAGAAGTGTTACCACCATCATCCCCTGAAGGGGTTGCCGAGAATGGTAGAGGAGCTGGGTGGAAGAAGATTGACTATCCCTTTAGCACAGTGTTCCCACTGATGTCATCCAGATCCTTCTGAAGTATCCCATGCAGAATATGGGAATAATTGTTCTCTCTGTGTTTTTTTTAATAATAACAATAATAATAAAGTTGGAAGGGACCTTAGAAGTCATCGAGTCCAACCCCCTGCTCAGGCAGGAAACCCTACACCATTTCGGACAAATGGCTGTCCAGTCTCTTCTTTAAAACTTCCAGTGTTGGAGCATTCACCGCTTCTGGAGGCAGGTTGTTCCACTGGTTAATTGTTCTAACTGTCAGGAAATTTCTCCTTAGTTCTAGGTTGCTTCTCTCCTTGGTTAGTTTCCATCCGTTGCTTCTTGTCCTGCCTTCGGGTGCTTTGGAGAATAGCTTGACTCCCTCTTCTTTGGGGCAGCCCCTGAGATATTGGAAGGCTGCTATCATGTCCCCCCTCGTCCTTCTCTTCATTAAACTAGACATACCCAATTCCATCAACCTTTCCTTATATGTTTTAGCCTCCAGTCCCCTAATCATCTTTGTTGGTCTTCTCTGTACTCTTTCTAGAGTCTCAGCATCTTTTTTACATCGTGGTGACCAAAACTGGATGCTGTGTTCCAAGTGTGGCCTTACCAAGGCATTGTAAAGTGGTATTAACACTTCAGGTGGTCTTGATTCCATCCCTCTGTTAATATTACTCTTTGCATGAGTTTCTCTTTCAACCCTCTCCATCTTTTTTTAAAAAATTATTATTAAATAATCCTAAGGATGTTAGCTTTCTCTGCTAGGGAAGAGAAAGGAAGGTTAACATACTTACGATATTTAATAATAATATTTAAAAGGAAAAAAAAGATGACAATTAAAAAAACCTGTTCAATCCCATAAATACTTAATGTGCCTTTTTGGAGGATCTGAATTAGAGACTATAAGACCACATTTGATCTGAATAGTAATCTCACGATGTCTGGGATGACATCTGTTTGGATGTTGGCTGAAGTGATATTTAATTAGATGGAGGATCAAAAACAGTAGTGTCAAGTTTTCCATCCATTAGCATGGAGAAGTAGGGGAGAGACATAACCTAGTTAGAAACAGTCTTGGTTCTTTCAAGAGGCATTATGGTTGACTCTTGGCAGTCCCCATTGAGCAGAATACAGTTTGAAAGATACTTAGTTGAAGTAATGATTCAGTAGCCAAAACTTTCTAAACAAAAGGGACTTTTGCCATTGGATTTTCAGTGTTGATTCCACTGGCCCTGATTTTCACTGGAATTCAACTTTGTCCTCAATCATCCTATTTTTCAAAAATGCATTCTTCCTTGCCTACTTTATTTCCAGGTGCCCAAGAAAATATACGTTGGGAAATTCAACGTTATGATGGCTGGTACAACAACCTCATGTATCATAAACACAACTCAGCAGGTGAGAAAACATACAACTGATCCTCTAAATGTCCAACCTAGAAGGAATGGTTGGTTATTTAAAGCTGAAGTCCTCAACTTGAGTTATTGACCTTAGTGGGCATCTTCTTCTCCAGAGAGCCTTGTTTTTGCATAAGGTGTCCAAAGTAAGATAGTTTGAGCCTGGTCATTTGTGCCTTGAGTGAGAACTAAATTCAATGATCCATAAATGTGTTTTCTTGGCTGTCCAAAGTAGTCTCAAGGAACTTCTCATGATCTTTCTGCCATATTTTGCCCCATTCCCACCTCAAAGTGACATGCTGATTTCTTCCCTGTAGGTTCACGGTTATCACGTCTACTTCCTGCTAATTATGCAGATGGGGTATACCAGGCCCTGCAAGAACCTCATGTACCCAATGCCCGCAGGCTTAGCGATGTGGTGGCCCAAGGGGATTCGGACCTACCTTCTCAGAAAAAGAGAACGGTGCTTGGTGTCTTCTTTGGTAAGCAGCCATCTTTTGACCCAGACATTCCCTCATGTCTTTGACCCTTTCTGGAAGAGAAAGCATTTGCTAAGCGTGTTTCCACCAACTGAAAATTCGATCGTGATCTCGGACCTTAAAAGAAGGTCACACCTGCTTGTGGACTTCTCAGGAACTCTTTCTGATGGGAAAAGAGGTAAAATCAATGCCGCGTTATTTTCTCCAACTGTAATGATTCAGATTATTTTCCACCTGAACTCAGTTCTGGAGAAATCCTTTCAGCTTAAAAAAAAAATGCAACTTGAAAAAAATCACGAATTGCATAATTTCAAGCAAAGGATATGAGAACATAAAAAGAAATCCTTTGGTGCATCAAAATCCTGTTTTGAAAGGAGGCCCTGAAGAGTTCAAAACACTTGGACCACATGGGGCAGAAATATAGTGCAGAACGGAACTGAATTCTGCCCGGAAGCCAGATAAAACTAAAAACTGTTCTCTCTGGATTTACCCAGAAGTCAACTCCTTCCTCCAACATTATGCAAATCTATGCAGTCTTTAAATCTTTATACTATTAGTTCTATTAGTCAGATTTCTTCATTCTAATTTTCAGCCCAGAAGTGAGATGACTTTTAAGCCTTGTTGCATATGTTGATGCTTTTCTTCTGTTTTGGTTTCAGCCTACTGCTTTCCCCATAGAGTCACTGTTGTGAGAGGAGCAGTTATATAAATTGTTAGATAAAGAAAGAATTCCATGGGCTGGCCCAACACAACATGCTGAGCTTGAAAAAGGCCAGTCAAGATTAAATTAGCCAAGTTTTGAATGTTTGCAGACACACCCAAGAGATTTTCAATAGACCTGTTTAAGTATGCTGCGTGTACTAGGTACACTAATATGTAAACACATACACCAAAACAGTGCTTTTTTATATATATAAAAAAGGTGCCAGAACTCACACATGTCATACAACCCGCCTTGCCTACCCTACAAGCTTCCATCCAAAAAAGGTGCCGGAACTCTGTTCTTGCCATTCTATGACAAAAAAAGCCCTGCACCAAAACACACACAAATACGCACACATGCACAAACTTATTCAAAGCAGTGGTCTAATTTTTATTTCTTGGTGTTTACTAAAAATTGCTTGCTTTACTGGGCCTTCCTTCCTTCCTTCCTTCCTTCCTTCCTTCCTTCCTTCCTTCCTTCCTTTCTTTCTTTCTTTCTTTCTTTCTTTCTTTCTTTCTTTCTCTAACTTTCTTGATTTGGGGTACCTGGCAGGCTTCCATGTGGTGGCAGAGATTTCAGAAGCCAACAATCCAGGCTGCCCAGCCGAATTCCTCAACCTGCAGATCCCTCCAGGAGACCCCGTCTTTGACCCCAACAACTCTCAAGAGGTTGTCCTGCCCTTCCAGCGGATGAGTTGGGCTGCAGGAACAGGACGAAGTCCCAACAATCCCCGGGAGATGGTAAAAATGTCCTTTGCTATCTGGGCCAGGTCCCTTCCTCCCTCCGAAGGTAGAATTCCAGGAAAAAAGGCAGGAATTGGGTGAGGTATCTATGATAGCACATCATGGGAGATTGAGCCAAATTCTGTCTCCCGACAGGTGGAATACTCAAGATTTATTTGTTTGGCTGTTTTCTCTGGAATAGATTAAAAAAAAAACTATGACTCAAGGACCACACCTACATTTAAGGCAATAGAAAAGGCAGATGGGGCTGAAATGAATCAAATAGTCGCTATAGCAACTTTTGCAATCTATTATTTTCTGGATCTGCATTTCTCAACTTTGGCAACCTTGATGTCAACGCTGCTAACATTGGAGGTTCTTGCTTTGACAACATTGGAGATGCAGCCATTTTCCTTCTTATGTTTTACTCTTAGAATTAGAGTTAGAATTAGATGATACTGGGGGGAGGAGGAGGAGGAATGTGCATGGGAGTTTAGTTAGACATAACAATACTGGACCTAGTGTGTGAACCAAGGTTATTGAAATAAGAGACGATAAGAATTGGCGGGTTGGAGAACTGGAGGGAAAGCCTGCATTTCAAACTAATTGGAGAATGTGATTTATGACTGTTAATTAGAGGAGGGAATTGTGCTTTGATACTATGTGCTCAGGGGAGGGGAATTCAGATTTCGGCTTTGATTATGTAAATGCCGAAGTTATGCTTCTCGATTAAAGATTCTTTAAGGTAAACAATGCCTCGAAGCTCTTTGAAGAGTTTCATCAGTCGGAACCATGACACTTACGATGTGTGGATTTCAACTCTCAAAACATTAAGTGTGTTGCAATCTAACAGGAGCAGATGTAAGGACACTTACAGGTGGTCCTTGACTTACAACCTTTTGTTTAGCGATTGGTTGAAGTTACAACAGCACTGGAAAAAAGGGCCTTACGACGGGTACACGCACTAAGCGAGCAGGATCACACGATCACCATTTGCAAGCTTCCCAGCTGGTTTCTGACAAGCAAAATCGATGGGAAGCCAGTTTGACTTCATGATGACACGATTGATTTTGTAACTGCAGTGATTTGATTAACAATGATGGGGAAAAATGCATCACAAAATCGGCTACAACTCTCTCACAATTGCCTGGCTTAGCCATGGAAATTCTGGTCCCAGTTATAATCATAAGTCAAGGATTATCTGTAGCTGGGAAAAAAAATGGCGTATAAGCCCAGAGATAGATATTTCAATATCACCTTTAGGTTCCAAAGATGCTTTTCTGAAAGGCAACTGGATTTCCTTGGGTTTTTGTTTTCTTTGAAAACATTTTGCTTCCCATCCAAGAAGTTTCTTCCGTTCTAACGGATACAATCCAGTCGGTTAGAACGGAAGAAGCTTCTTGGATGAGAAGCAAAATGTTTTCAAGGGAAAACAAAAAAAAACAAAGTCCAGCTGGTTTTTGGAAAAGTACCTTTGGGACAACCATGACCTAAATGATTGAGCATCTCCATAGACATGAGGTCCAAATTTACTGAGCTTTGATTATCCAGTGTGAAGTTGCTAACTTGAGACACCTTATCACAGGGGTCTTCAAACTTGGCCCTTTTATGACTTGTGGACTTCAACTCCCAGAATTCCTCAGCCAGGCACGCGTGGTTGAAGTCCACAAGTCATAAAAGGGCCAAGTTTGAAGACCCTGCCTTATCAACTGATGCAATCCAAGCAGTTCAGAGACTGAACAGGAGTTAACGGCTCTCCTTACTCTCTCCATCCCATCTTCCTTTTTGTTCTCCGACAGATAAATGGGGTGACTGGCTGGTTAGATGGAAGCGCCATCTACGGCTCCTCACATGCCTGGAGCGATTCTCTAAGGAGTTTCTCCCAAGGAATGTTACTTTCTGGAAAGAAACCTGGCTTCCCAAAGCAAACGGAAGAGAACAGCTTAATGTGGAAGGCTCTCGATCCAGCTACAGGGAAGGGTGGATCCCAAGGCATCTTCGGTAAGCAAGTCTGGGATCATCCTTTGCTCTTCAAGAGACTAAGAGAGAGAGAGAGAGAGATGGGCGGAACCCAAGAGTATTTCTTTTCAGGTCTTTGTTCAGTTTTCTGCCAACAATAATAGTGGAACGTTGGGTGTGTATTTGAGGATTCTAGAATATTGGAGGTGACTAGCAACTTAACTATGTGGTGCTAGAGCTTCCTTGATAGGGGATGATCTCTGAGTATATTCTTCCATCAACATCTAACATTACTACCTCTCCTTCTCCTCCTCTCCACCTCCTCCTTCTCTCCTCCTCCTCCTTCCCTCCTCCTCCTCTTTCTCTTCTCCTTCTCCTCCTCTCCTCCTCCTCCTTCTCTCCTCCTCCTCCTCCTCTCCTTCTCCTCCTCTTTCCCTCCTCCTCCTCCTCCTCCTCNAAGCAAAATCGATGGGAAGCCAGTTTGACTTCATGATGACACGATTGATTTTGTAACTGCAGTGATTTGATTAACAATGATGGGGAAAAATGCATCACAAAATCGGCTACAACTCTCTCACAATTGCCTGGCTTAGCCATGGAAATTCTGGTCCCAGTTATAATCATAAGTCAAGGATTATCTGTAGCTGGGAAAAAAATGGCGTATAAGCCCAGAGATAGATATTTCAATATCACCTTTAGGTTCCAAAGATGCTTTTCTGAAAGGCAACTGGATTTCCTTGGGTTTTTGTTTTCTTTGAAAACATTTTGCTTCCCATCCAAGAAGTTTCTTCCGTTCTAACGGATACAATCCAGTCGGTTAGAACGGAAGAAGCTTCTTGGATGAGAAGCAAAATGTTTTCAAGGGAAAACAAAAAAAAACAAAGTCCAGCTGGTTTTTGGAAAAGTACCTTTGGGACAACCATGACCTAAATGATTGAGCATCTCCATAGACATGAGGTCCAAATTTACTGAGCTTTGATTATGTGAAGTTGCTAACTTGAGACACCTTATCACAGGGGTCTTCAAACTTGGCCCTTTTATGACTTGTGGACTTCAACTCCCAGAATTCCTCAGCCAGGCACGCGTGCCTGGCTGAGGAATTCTGGGAGTTGAAGTCCACAAGTCATAAAAGGGCCAAGTTTGAAGACCCCTGCCTTATCAACTGATACAATTCCAGCAGTTCAGAGACTGAACAGGAGTTAACAGCTCTCCTTACTCTCTCCATCCCATCTTCCTTTTTGTTCTCCGACAGATAAATGGGGTGACTGGCTGGTTAGATGGAAGTGCCATCTACGGCTCCTCACATGCCTGGAGCGATTCTCTAAGGAGTTTCTCCCAAGGAATGTTACTTTCTGGAAAGAAACGTGGCTTCCCAAAGCAAACAGAAGAGAACAGCTTAATGTGGAAGGCTCTCGATCCAGCTACAGGGAAGGGTGGATCCCAAGGCATCTTCGGTAAGCAAGTCTGGGATCATCCTTTGCTCTTCAAGAGGCTAAGAGAGAGAGAGAGAGAGAGATGGGCGGAACGCAAGAGTATTTCTTTTCAGGTCTTTGTTCAGTTTTCTGCCAACAATAATAGTGGAAAGTTGGGTGTGTATTTGAGGATTCTAGAATATCTGGAGGTGACTAGCAACTCAACTATGTGGTGCTAGAGCTTCCTTGATAGGGGATGATCTCTGAGTATATTCTTCCATCAACATCTAACATTACTACCTCTCCTTCTCCTCCTCTCCACCTCCTCCTTCTCTCCTCCTCCTCCTTCCCTCCTCCTCCTCCTTCTCTTCTCCTTCTCCTCCTCTCCTCCTCCTCCTTCTCTCCTCCTCCTCCTCCTCTCCTTCTCCTCCTCTTTCCCTCCTCCTCCTCCTCCTCCTCTTCCTCCTGTCCCTTCCTCCTCCTCCTC